TCTGTGATTACCGGTGACAACAAGGAACGCCACCCCCCCAAGCCCCTCACCTTTCTGTAGGTAATTTGCCTTCCCCTTGGGCTCTTTCTCGCACAGGCTCTGCAGAGCTACACTCTGCTTCGATTTCGGTCCTCTCAGCCACATCCCTCACGGAGGGAAATGCATCTTGAGATGGGGATGCTGGTGGCCTAGGAACAATGACCACCATGCTCACCGCCATTCCTTTACCCAGCCAACGGGTCAGGAGGCCAACAGACGGGGCGCCCCCTGGGGCTACCGTGTGCCAGGCTTCAGGGGGTGACAGCTCCGGGCAAGATCACACAGCACACAAAAAGCCAAGTCCCGAGCTGAAAAGGGTATTGGAGTATGTATTTCTGGTGGCGGGCCCCGCTTCAGGCAAGCTTGGGAAGCAAGGGGTCTCACCTCACGGTGGGGATCCCGCGAATGGCTGGGCTGGGCTGCACCAGAGGTGAGGCCCAGCTGGAAAGGAATCACAAAGGGCCACGGAAGAGGCTAGGAGTCGGGGAGCAATTGCCGGAAACCCGTGAATTTGGATGTGCTCACCTTTTGCCACGTTGATATTGAAACTGTGCCCCATGGGGTTAATGAGGTTGAAACTACCAGAAAGCTGAAAGCTTGTTTTTCAGCCAACCCTTTTCCCCTCAAGGTCAACCGATGTGGTTCCAGCCTGTAGGCATGTAGTACTTAGGCCGTTGGCTAAGTACCGCGCAGCCTGAAGCCCACCTTGACGGTGGACGACAAAGCTCCCGTTTCTGAATATTCATCTTAACCATAAATAAAAGGAACCCAGTCACATCTGCTCAGGGGCTTTGGAAGTGACTCCCCAAGGTCTCCTTATTTGCTTCAAATAAACTTTCCTGTGCGGGACCACCCCACTTGATGTGCTCTCTATCTGGAACTCTCTGAGGGAACTCCCATCAACTCAGCAGGACACCAAATTGTTTGATAATGAGGTAGGGATGTGGACATCACCCTAGGGGCTAACCAAGCCCTGGGAATAAGGAAGTCACTTAACCTTGGTGAATCACTTTACCTCAAGAGCCTCTGATTTCCTTCTTTTTCTATTTGCTTTATAGACTGAGACTCCACTTGGAATTTCCCTAATAAATTTATGACAAAATAGCACCCCTTTTTTTTTTGCAAATTCAGAAGATTTCTAATTATAGGCTAATCTCTGTAAAGTGTAATTACCACAAATGTCAAAGTCTCATTATATAACCAAAAAAAAAAAAAAGTATAAGGATACAACCGACTTACTCTAAAAATAGAGACTTTTCATCTTTTATTTCCTACCATTTTAGCCCAACAGACCTAGTTTTCAAAATAAAAGAATGAAATGATATAAAGTAGTCGTTCTATAAATTAGCAACTCGACAGCTATTACACATCACAACAGGCACCAAAGACCAGAAGATATTAAATCTCATTTGACCTTGGGCGCCTGGGTGGCTCAGTCGGTTAGGCGACTGCCTTCGGCTCAGGTCATGATCCCGGAGTCCCGGGATCGAGTCCTGCATCGGGCTCCCTGCTCAGCGGGGGGTCTGCTTCTCCTTCTGACCCTCCCCCCTGTCATGTGCTCTCTGTCTCTCTCATTCTCTCTCTCTCAAATAAATAAATAAAATCTTTAAAAAAAAAAAATCTCATTTGACCTTACACCCCGTCTGCTTGCTTCCCATAAACCACCACCAAACCATTGGCACACGTTCCTGTAAGGGGCCAGTTAGTAAATATTTTCTGTTTTGCAGGCCATCTAGGCTCTATCACAACTACTCAACCAGCGAGGAGATTGCCATGCAGTGCAAAGGCGGTTAGAGACAATATCTAAACAAATAAAACTATTTGTGGGCACTGAAATTTGGATTTAACGTAACTGGGATGGGTCATGAAATAGTATTCTTCCTCTGACTTTTTCTTTTTTTTGTTTTAAGATTTTATTTATTTGAGAGAGAGAACACGCAGGGGAGGGAGGGGCAGAGGGAGAGGGAGAAGCAGACTCCCCACGGAGCAGGGAGCCTGATGTGGGGCTCGATCCCAGGACCCCGGGATCATCACCTGAGCCGAAGGCAGACGCTTAACGGACTGAGCCACCCGGGCGCCCTCTTCCTCTGACTTTTTCAATCACTTAAAAACATAAAAACTTTTTAGCTTGTAGGCTGTGCAAACATAGGCGGCAAGTGGGGTATGGGCCGTGGCCACAACATGCCGCTCAGCCCTCAGCTTTGGCAAGCTTCTGAGATAGAAGGGATCTGCTCTTGGCGTGCAAAGACACTGGTTGGTTCATCTGTAATGATGGTTTTTAATTTTAGCACAATCTTTCAAATGTTTAAATGATCAGGTTTGATCCATTTAGTAAATAAATTTCTCATTACCTCCTTGCTTGGCCACAGAGAAATCTGCTATAGTTAAGAGCAGAATAATGGTTTTGCTTTTAAAACCGCTTAGCCACGGTTACACATTGGCATGTTGCTTTCAAATACTGATCTCCGCATTTCTGTGTCTATTTCGCATAGTGAGAAGCATTCTAGTCTTAGCTAGGGCTCTGTCGATGGAAAGATTTCATTTTATTTTATTTTTTAAAGATTTATTTATTTTAGAAAGAGAAAGAGAGCAAGCACGAGCCGGAGGAGCAGGGAGGAGCAGAGGGAGAGAGAGAGAATCTCAAGCAGACTTCGGGCTGAGCGGGGAGCCTGACACAGGGCTTGATCTCATGACCCTGAGATCATGACCTGAGTCGAAATCAAGAGTCAGACACTCAGCCGACTGAGCCACCCAGGTGTCCCAGAACAATTCTTATTCTGCCACATTAGAGCTCTCTGACTTTGGTGAATCACTTTACCTCATGAGAATTTTCATTTCTCAACTGTAAAATGGTTAGAATGCATTTTGCGAAACTATTAAGAAAAATAGGTAACACGTGTTCATGTAAACCATCCTCCCAGATTAACCAACACCGAGTAAGCATCTAGCATGTGCACATTAAAAACACCAGGAATATATGATACTTATCAATTTCTAGCTTGCTGTTTTCACTTACCACTATATTATAAGTACTTATGTGTCTCAGTGTTCTTTTAAAAAACATGATTTGAGGAGTGCCTGGGTGGCTCGGTTGGTTGAGCGTCCGACTCTTGGTTTTCGTTCAGGTCATGATCTCAGGGTCCTAAGATTGAGCACCACGTCGGGCTCTGCACTCAGTCTGCTTGAGACTCTTTCCCTCTCCCTCCCCTCTGCTCCTCCCACTGCCCCCCCCCTCCGCTTGCACACACTCTCTAAAATAAATATTTAAAAATTAATTAATTAATTAAAACATGATTTGATGGTTGTATAACATATCGTTTAATGGAGGACCACAATTAAGTAATCCCTCCCCAACATTCGACATGAGATACTCTCTTTGCCATGCCGAATAGACAACCTTCATAGATAATTTGCCACATCCTTGATCATGTCTTAAGAGAGCTTCTAGAAGTGGAGTTTCCATATCAAAGGAGAGGACATATAACTATTAATACAGTCGAATAATTTCCCTGTGCTTCCTGGCCTCTTGTATCTCTTCTTTTGAAAATTGTTTCCAAGTCTTTTCTTATAAAAGATCTACCAAGTGCTCCTTTTCTCGTCAGGAGTAAGGTATCACAGGTTCCGAGTGTCTCCGGGGCGACAGTGTGTGTCGGGCTTGGTCTAGGTGCAGAGAGCAGAGGGGCTCGAGCACGGCTCCCGGAGTCAGGCCGCCCAGCCAAGACCACTCAGACTCCTTAATCTCCTGCAGCCCCAGCTCCCTCATCTGGGCTTCACGAGGCTGCTTTGGAAACTGCAACAGAACCCTAGACATCAAGCCCTTAGCATGACGCCTGACCGGTCTTTATTATTACCAGTGCCCTCATTCCATCCCTTAAGGGGCAAAGGCAGATGTGGGCATGGGTTTGCATAAAAATAGACATCTGAGTTTCTAGGAAATGAAACTATAAGCAGTTGTTTCCTTTGTAACACAGTCCCCCCGGGGTTAACTCCTCATTAGACCTCAGGCACAAAATGAGCCATGGTGCCCACATTCAGATCTAGAAATCAGGATGGGTTCCCACTGAATGTACTCCATCATGGCTCATTTGGGTGACAAAATAATTTCAGAAAAAGGCCACTGATATCTTTTTCTGACTAATTTTCGGCATCCCTAACAGCTCACACTGCTCGCAAAGAACCTGAACACCTATTCTGTGACTTGAGCCTCATGGTGGCCCTGGAAAGCACCTGGAGAGGTATTAGAATGTTCTGCCTCGACAGAGAAGGTAAGGCCGTGTACTCAGGCTCCTCGCAGTCACTAGGCCTTGACCCTTGGCTTTAAGTATCGGTCTTCCCAGTTTTAGCATAGGTCTGGTTAGGTCAGTTTCTCCAGACTCCCTCACCATTGATCTCTGATCATCCTTGATATCTGCTCAAATCCCTCAGCCCCTCCCATCCTCCAGGTGATAGCTGATCTCCTTGGCCTGCTTGCAGCGAGAATCCTGTCAAGTCGGTTTATCCAGAAGCCACCCCCACCCCTGATGTTTCACCTTAGTCATTTTCCATCCACCGACCCCCACCCTGCTCCTTGGCTATAAATCCCCACGAGTCCCTTCCGTGCAGGCAACAGAACCCAGTACTCTACCGAGGCTTCTTTTCCCCAAAAACATAGGATGGACAAATTAGATCCATAGAAGCAATTTCCCCAATTCGAACATCTGTTCCTCCTCACTACAGATCGCATTAACTCTGGCAGGAAGCTGGACAGCGCAAGCGTTGATTACTCTGAATTTGAGTAATACTGCCATGATTAATCTGGATTATGAAATATAAATCACAAAGAAGTTCTCCTCTCCTCCCCTCCCCCTCCCGCAAATAACCAAACTACAAATTCTTAAACATCTCTCTTGCCAGCTGGTTTCAGTTCTTCCCACCAAGAGGACAGAGAACAATTTTTTAGGGAATCTCTTGGCTGTTCTTACCATTTTTAGTCTTCTTCCACAGAGAAATACAGAAGTCTGGTTGAAGAGAGCAGAGCAGGAAAGATGTCAAGATCAGCCTGAGATGGATCCAATAGCTTCAACTAAGATAAAGAGAAAACACCGCATTTTACATTTCAAAGAGGTTAAAGGACTGTAGCTCCAAAACACACTGGGAACTTGCTCAAAAATGTGCTCTTGAAAACAGCCATTAATAGTATTTACTTCCTCAAAGTTATGTAAACTAGAGATATACTCCAGAAAACCATCTCTAGTACTGTTAAACATCTGACTTTATCTTCAGAGATTTGACATTTTAGACTACCAAAATTTTCCTTTAGGTTAAAAAAAAATTATTTTATTATTATTATTATTTATTATTATTATTATTATTTGGCATATGATTTGGATTCCCTCTCCTCTCCTCCCCACTCCCTGAGAATGGCTCACACACATAATTAGTTAAACTACCCAAATTTGTCCCCGGGGTGGAAAAATACCTTTCTGGGTTGCATGGAGTGACTCTATGTCTGGAGTCTTCGGAGATGAAGAGATGGTGCTCAGGAAGTATGGAGTCTCAGAGACTCCAGGCTACCAGCCCGAGGGTTTCCCAGTGCGAAGACAAGGTTGGGGGGGTGGAGGGGAGGAGCATGACTGTTAAAACCACCCCAGACAGGAGGTTTGCAGAAGCACCAGGTTCCTCTTATTTCTGCCACCCTAACTGGGGCGATGTCTTGTCTAAGTCCGAACAACCCGGTAGGCTGACCTTCCATTTTTTTTTTAATGGGCGACTTTCTCCACCTCAGCTCTATGGACCTTTTGGGGAGATAATTCTGTGTCGCCTTGTACGATGCTGAGCAGCATCCCTGACCTCTCCCCACGAAATGCCAGAAACACTGCCCTTCCAGTTGTGACAACCACAGATGTCTCCAGACATTGCAAAATATCCCCTGGGGGGCCGAAGCGCCCCAGGTTGAGAGCCACGGTTCTATAGATATCGAGAGACAGGCCTAAATAGACCTTGCTCTGTCTTTGCCACCCCCCCTTTCTGAAAGGGCCCCTTTGGTTTGTAGGCAGTAGCAGAGCTTCCAGCTGGTTGACTCACTTCAGTAAAAAAGGTCAGCTGCACTTGTCTGGTGTCACATAAAGCCTTGCTTCTCGAAGTGGGGTCTTCGCGAGAACTGTTCCCTTTCTTCACTGACGATTGGGTCCTTTCGCAGGGAGAGGCAAAATATCGGTAGTTATGTTTAAAGGTCTTGAGTCCATCTCGACGACCTGAAGAGAATTTGAAAAATGCAGGTTGGCGTGGGGAGATGAGCTGATAAGGATCAGGGTTAATATACTGAAAAGTCACCAGTGCCCCGGATCAGCTGAAAAACGACTAGATGCAATAAAAATAGAGATCTTTCCGGGGGCGTTGTTACGAGCCAGACACTGTTTTAACTGCTTTGTATGTATTAACTCGTCAAATACTAAAAAAAAAAAAAAGAAAGAAAGAAAAAAGAGGTAAACATATATATATATATTTTTTATTTTTTTTTTTTTTTACAAGTACTGGAATTGGGACACCTGGGTGGCTCAGTCGTTAAGCATCTGCCTTCGGCTCAGGTCAGGATCCCAGGGTCTTGGGATCGAGCTCCGCATCGGGCTCTCTGCTCAGCGGGGAGTCTGCTTCTCCCTCTGCCCCTCGCCCTTGCTTGTGCTGTTTCTTCTAATAAATAAATAAAATCTTTAAAAAAAAAAAAAGTACTGAAATTGACGCACATACCAGGTAAGTGATAGTTACACAGGCAGGAAACATCAAATGCCTTCTTATCAGACCAAATTGCTATGCAAACATTATGTACAAATCGGTCATTGTCTCACATATAAACAATGACCGATCCAGAGTGGCCATAGGAGAAGAGATCCCATTGAAAACAGTAACAAAAATATGAACTACTTGGGAAGAAAACCGGCACAGAACGTTCAGGAACGAGGGAGGTGGGGAGGAGGGCAGGAGACTAGAATGCTCTACCTCGCGGGCTGCAGGCTTTCCACCTGCCCCCAGGCCCACTCTGCACGCCTTTCCGTCCTGCTCTGTGTCCCGGGAGGCTGAGCTATATGAACTTCATCAACTGGTTGGTGCTAAAGGCTGCTTGGTGGGTTTAGCCAACGTGGAAAGGGGTCAGGGTATTTATCCCCGTGGCTCCCTCCCTTTGCAAGGCTGGGGGTAGGGCTGCAACCCTCTAATGATGCTCTCGTCAGGTGATGCTCTCCTTGAGACCACTCTTCCCCAATTCTACTGATTGTTCCTTCCCCTTGTCTTTGGAGGCCTGGGGTTGTGAAGACCTGTCCTGAAGTGCCCTACTCTCCTGATTTCCCTGAATCCTGTCCAAACTGTCTTTAAATCGGAGGGGGAGACGAACCATGAGAGACGATGGACTCTGAAAAACAAACGGAGGGTTCTAGAGGGGAGGGGGGCGGGAGGATGGGTTAGCCTGGTGATGGGTATTGAGGAGGGCACGTTCTGCATGGAGCACTGGGTGTTGTGCACGAACAATGAATCATGGAACACTACATCAAAAACTAATGATGTGATGTATGGTGATTAACATAACATAATAAAAAAAATTAAAAAAAAAAAGATTGGGAGGTCAGTTCCTTACTACGGTATCTACAAATTTATATGTGTTTTTGTTTGTTTGTTTTATTTTTTCCTCAGTGCACCCATTTCTGTAACTAGAAAATAAATTCACTTTTTAGTAGGGAAAAAAAAAAGGCACTTTGCTAAATTCATCAATTTCTTTCTTTGAGCGTGCCGCCTGTTGCCAGCCAGGACCCAGGAGTCGGTGAAGGAGATGTAAATAAATGAAGAGAAGTAAGTCGCCGTTAGGGCTAGAGTCCACAACACTGTAAAAAATGGAAATCTTGCTTAAACTGATTTATAAATGCTGTGCAACCCCAACCAAATACCAATAGGATTCCACGAGTAACTTGCCAGATTGACTCTAAACGGGGAGGCATTTTGGAAATCAGTTGGGCATTTTTCTTTATCCCAAAGATTAGGGTTATCTCCTAAAATAATGACACCTACGAGGATGAACAATAACCCCATAATATCTCAATGTTGATTTTGTATTCAAATTTGCTCAGTTTGTCCCCAGTGTCATCTCCTTTCATAGAGAAAATATTTGTTATAGAAACAAGGCACTGGATCTGACTGGGTTAAGACCACATGTGAGGGGGCACCTGGGTGGCTCAGTCGGTTGAGCGTCTGCCTTTGGCTCGGGTCGTGATCTCGGGGTCCTGGGATCGAGCCCCATGTGGGGCTCTCTGCTCAGCGGGGAGTAGGCCTCTCCCTCTCTCTCTGATCCTCCTCCGCTTGTGCTCTCTCTCTCTCTCTGTCTCAAATAAATAAATAAAATCCTTAAAAAAAAAAAAAAGAAAAGACCACATGTGAGAATAGCCAGGTAACTTCTAAATGGAAAAGTACCAAAGGGAGGATTTCGCTTCCAGATCTATAAATGCATTATAACGATGCATTGCCTACGGCACGGTCCCAGCACGTCAATGAAAGAGAGGAGATACCAGAATTAAGCAAAGGCACATATGGGACATTAGTTTAAAGTCCCATCAATGACAAAAGAAATTATTAAAATAATGTTGGGCAGCTGGCTTAAAGTTTAGAAAAAATTCAGTTATAGTCTTACCTCGTTTCTTACACCAAAATTAATTTCAGATGGTTCAAAAATTTAAATGTAAGTCCTTGAACATTAAAAGTACCAGAAGAAATCATAGAGAGATATTTTTACAATCTTAAAGTGAGAAAGCCGTTCCACATATGAAGACAACAACAACAAACAAAAACCCAACAGCAACAACCTCAGAGTCTGAAAGGAAACACTGAAATATTTGACTACATAAAAATAAATCTACTCTCTCATCTGCCAGGGAGGCTTTGTGATCAGTAAAGACACATCCAGGTTTCATATGGTAAGATACTGAGAAATGATGATACTCTGTACGTGGCGTATTGATTATGCTTTCTTGTCTTGTTATTGATCTTCGATTCGTATCTCCTAGCTCCCCAATGATACTGCAGACCCCGAGAGTTAGGAATGCGATGTCCCCAGCATCCTGTCCCCAGCGGGTACTGAAGAAATCAAGCTTCATGATGATAAAGATGAAAGTGATCTTGAAAACAAGAACAATTCGATCAGTTAGGTTAATCTTGAGAGGAAGATGGTTATACAGATTAATCAATTGAAGTGACCAGTCATCTGATGAGTTTCACTAGCTGTTTAAATTAACCAGTTTGGTCAAGTGCCACTTGTCTAGTAGTCAAGCATAAAGAAAGCCTGTTTTTTTTTTTATTCAAAAGATCCTAAGTCCTCCTTAAATCAATGTAGTGAATTCAGTAGCAGAATGGTTATTGACTTTCTAATAATGGATAATGTCATTCTACTTTAACTTCAATTATATCAGTGGCCTGGTTGTTTAAATAAAATCTTCCTTTTTCTGCCCAACTTGATCTTGAAAACTTTCCGCTCTATAGAAGAGCAGAAGGAATTACACGACCCAGCCTGGAGGCCTGCTGCCTGAGTGCAAAAGTTGTTAAGAGTGTGCCCCGTTGGTTTTCTCTCTTTGTTTGTGGATATATGTGTATGTATTTGTTTTCTTAATCATTTGAAAGTTGCAAACAACATGACATTGTACCCTAAGCACGTAAGCCTGTATCTCCTAAAATAAGGATGACAACTAAGAGTTAACAATAATCCCATAATCCTATCTCATGTTGATTCTATATTCACATGTCTCCAATGTGTCCCCAAACCATCCTTTATTAGCTTTTTCTTTTTTTTCCTGATTCAGGAGACACTCAAGTGTTCACACAGTGAGTTTGGTTATGTCTCTGTAAACTTTTCACACTCTTTCCTTATACAAAACCTTTTTTTCTTTTTTAATGGATGTCACCCCCAAAGGTGACTTTAAGCTCTGTGACAAAAACGTTCTCCTGAATGGCAGACCTGTATTTCCAGTTATGTGCTGGACAGTTTCATATATACAAAGAGGGACAAATTCTTCCAGAACAAAGCCCTAAGATTTTGAAACATTAAGGTGTAAAAGCTGGAAAAAAGTGTTTTTTTTTTTACATAAACTAAAAAAAAAAAGAACACTGCCATTTAAAAGCTACAAGAATTTTCTATCTCCTTAGAGATAGAGGCAGCAAAATTTGTTATATTCTTTTCTTTCGGGTTTCTTCTCTCTTTCTCCCCCACTCCCACCCCCACCCGTTCCTCTCTCTGAAAACATTTTGGGTTTTTTTGGTTTTGGTTTTTGGGGTTTTTTTTTAAAGGTTTTATTTATTTATTTGAGAGAGGGAGAGCACAAGCAGGGGGAGGGGCAGAGGGAGAAACAGACCCCCGCTGAGCACGGAGCCTGATGTGGAGCTCGATCCCAGGACCCCAAGACCATGACCCTGAGACCACAACCCCAGCCGAAATCAAGAGTTGGACGCCCAGCCGACTAGAACCACCCAGGTGCCCCTGAGAACATTCTGAATGGGGCTTTTAGTTGGGCAAATATAAGGCAAGGCCTTTTTTTTTTTTAAAG